TAAATTAGTATATATATATAATATATAAATATATATATAAATTAGATCTTCTTTGCTACAGTTTAAATCATAATTAAACTTGAACTAAATGTGTGTCCGACATCGCAACTCCTTCACCTTTGTGGAAGATCGTCAGTCTCAAAGGAGCTCTGGTCGATGTTGGCCTCTTTAATCAGTCTCCGTCGAAGTTGGGAGGCAGGAGCGACAACAGGGGGCTCGTCTAGCTCCTCTTGTGTGGGCTGCCGGGACACCAGCAGTGTGTCATCTGTCATACAGCTGAAGACAGAACAAGATGCTAGAGTTTTCATTTTGTTTGTTTGCTGGTTTGGATAAAATACAGGTACAAAAAATAGGAGGTACAGATAGAAATACAGAGTCTAGCGACCTACCTGGAAAAGCTGCTGCCCCAGGACGTTTTAGAGGCTTGGTTCTTAAGCTTTACATAAACATGATGTGAAGAGGGGACGGCAGGTGGTGTGTGAGGAGGAGATGGATCATCTAGACCTTCCTCAGATGACAGTGTGTTTTGACGGGATATCCAGGTTTCATAAAACTGCTTCACACTCTCCTGACTCACTTCTTTTCCCTGCAGACACAGAAAATCATAATGGATTCATTAGCAGACGCTAAAACTGTTTTAAAGCCAGACAGCATCCTATCTAAGAGCCAGAAACATATAGCAAACTGCATGAAAAAAATTAAATAAAATTTTTTGCATTGTTTTGTGAAGCTTAAGGCTAGTTCGTCATTTCATTTACTGACACTAAAAAAGCCTTTTTTTAAACCTGCCCTTTTAAAATAGACATGCGTTTTCATGTGTATAAGATGTCATAACGTGTGCTGCACCATCTAGAAACAGCAGAAAACATTGTTTTGCCAACATAAACACCTTTCTTATGAATAAGTGTTCAATTCATGTACAGCCACACAGAAAAAGGAGGGAGTGAGCACTCTTTCTTGCTTAAATGAACATCTTTGCTGAGAGCATGAATGTTTCTTTAAAAGTAGATCAGAAACAGAACGCATCTTGAATTCTAAGTGGGGTTTTTTGCACATATGAGGAATTTGCTTTGGTGTTTTGGTGATTCACACAGACAAACATACAGTCAACCTAAATTAATCTGGAAACATATAAAAATATATATATGAAAAAATAGAGGAATAGCACCATTTCAGATCTTAGAAACGTACATATATAACCATATGAAGTTAAATTAAATAGTATTTACTAGTAAGTGTCAGTGGGATATCAGGGGCCTTGCCAATGAGGCTAGCTGCAGACGAGAAGATGTTTAGGAGTTTATAAAATTGTAATCTGCCGGAAACATTTTTTCTGGCACAATAAACAGCTATTTGTGACATTGAAACACAAACAGTTGGTGTGATGACATAGGGAAGATTATGGATGTTGTACACTGTATTTAAGTCATAATTTCTCATAGTTATTAACTGTTATGTTTAATTTGTTAACTAAAAAAACATGCTGATGTCGGTTGGTTGCATTATCACACAAATAAATAAAATGTCTACGAATTATCTTGGAGGCAGACTGGTGGCGTCAAAGTTTAGAATCGATGTTGTCTTTACTTTTGTGAATTTCAGCCCTCAAAGATAAGGACCAATTAGTTGTGGAAAATCACTGCACGGCTGACATCTAAATGAATACTGTAATAAATGAAAGCATGTGTGTCCTAACATCAGAGTAGCGCTGTTCACAGCTGGATCACCCATCACGATGCTGACTGGATTTTATTACTTTCACCTTGAGAATTTCACAACTTACAGACGAGGCATGTATCTTTGTGCTTTTATATTCCCTCTGTAGATTGCAGGCTTGTCAGGTTTCTAAGCTACTGCCCACAGACAACAATTCTCCTTCTTTCCTCCTCAACTCTGAAACTCTCCTCATCCCTTTCATGCTGCTGTCTTTGGTTTCACTTCTCGTTTTTTGAATGTCAGTTTTGGTATTTGCAGTATTTGTCAGCATCCCCTGCTTGCTAGTGTACAAGTCTTGCTATTATACTAGAAACACAAGTGTTAACACTTCCTTAACTGAAAAGATAAAGTTACAAAACCAATCAGATATGTATGCCCTTTAAAACTCAATGAGAAGTTCACAATGCACCCTAAACCCAATCCTAATCCTAACCCTAGACCTTGTGTGAACTTGCAGCAACAGTTTGAAGAGGTAAAATTCCATCAGCTGCAAAGAAAAGTTTAATTTATTTTCCAGTAATCAGGCTTAGGTCTGGTCTTTTCACCTTCTTTTGCTGCTGGTTGAGCAATGCTCGCTCTAATCGCAGCACTTTGGAGATGTCCAGGCTGTCTTTACAGAAGGCGTTCAGACCATCCGTCATATCGTCGATGAGCGACTGCAGAAACACAAAGATGAACTTCAGCGTGCTCAGGATGCGCTGCAGGATGTTTTCTGTAGTCAGGAACAAAACAGGATTGATATGATTCAGAGTTGAATTTAATAACGGAGCTATTTAGAAGTACTTCACCTCCTCTCCCATGTTTACCTCTTTCCTCCTCTCCCTCCTCCCCCATGGCACTCTCATCCAGGTCATCTTCACTGGAATCGGCTCTGTTGATTCCTTAAAAAAATACAGTTTTTATCTTTTCCTTTATTTTTTTTTAAAGGTCTATTTGTTTTTAATGTCTGTGGTGACTTCATTTTCTTCTCACCCTGCTGCTTCCTCAGTTCTGTCTTTGCCCTCTTCTTCTCTTCTTTCCTTATCTTTTTCTTTTCTTTCTTTAGATCCTTCAGAGCTGATTTGGAGCTGGTAGTCCAGGCATTATAAGCCCACTAGAACATAAACATGCAGATAACTTAAGAGCAAAAAAGCTTTCTAATTTCTTTAACAGGAAAAACTATCAGTGTATCTGTTGGTGTGTTGCTCCTTGAAAAACCAAATGTAAATGAATAATTTGTTTTTGTGGTTAATATTTCCTTTTTTTGCCTCAGCTCACCTGAAAAGCAGATTTCTTCTTCAGAGGTTCCTCTTCCTCTTTTACCTCTGTTACTTCTTCTTCCTCATCCTCACTGTCGCTCTCAAATAGGTGGTAGCCACAATTGTTCTCCACTGCATAAGATAATAAGGTCAACACTCTTATTTTGCAGAGAAAAGGCCTCTGAATAGAGCAACCAAACAAAAAGCTGCTTTGTTGCAACATCAGAACATTTTTTTTTTTAATCAGATTCAATCCCAACACTCAGTTTGACCAATTCTCTGATGGGGAAAAGGGAATTTAAATATTTGGACATTTTACAATATCTTCAAATTATATCCATAATATCTAATTTTCTTTTTCTGTTACTTTCTGTCACATATGCTTCCAATGTTAAAGACCAAAACAAAGTATTATACCGTTGTGAGGCTGAAGAAAGTAATATTTATTTAGTACCTAACAGATTTTCTTCCGGGATTTTCCTCTATTTAGATAAACATAACTTTCCTTTCACTTACTAATTATGTGCTACAATCTTTGACATAAAAACACAAAAACAAGGCATTAAGTTTTGAAACATGAGGCACAATCCACAGAATTGTTTCTGAAGGAATTTTGCATTGCAACGTGGGATTTCACCACTCACCTCCAGGCCGAGAAACCCAAGGCTTCCACCATTTTCCTGCATCTTTCTTTGCCTTCTCCTCATCACCTGCAAGAAAACAGTTAGTTCTTGTCATCCATCCATCCATCCATCCATCCATCCATCCATCCATCCATCCATCCATCCATCCATCTATCCATCCATCCTCTCCCATTATTCCAACAGGGTTGCGGTGGGGTTGGTGCCTATCTCTGGCAGTCTATGGGTAAGAGGCTGGGAGCACCCTGGACAGGTCGTCAGTCTGTCACAGGCTAAACCACAGACGTACAATCATGCACACACACACCTAAGGACAATTTAGAGACGCCAGTTAACCTAACAGTCATGTTTTTGGACTGTGGCAGAAAGCTGAAGCACCAGGAGAGACAGAGAACCGAAGCATGAACGGGCAGAACATGCAAACTCCATGCAGAAATCCCTGGGCCAGGAATTGAACCCAGAACTCTTGCTGCAAAGTAACTGCACCACCCTTAATTCTGATAATTTGACTAAAGACAGATAACGTTGGTCCAAATCGGACTAAGTGAAAAACAGGAATTTTAAACTTGATTAACCTCAGAATTTCATCTCAGTCGTTGGTATACTTCTTTACATTACTGGAGTGAATGCTGGAAATAGTCAGGTAGTCGAAAATAGCCTAGATACATTTTTATTGTAAATAAATTTTATTAATCAGTGGATTTTAGGATTTTAATTGTTAAACACAACTGAGAACCCTCTACTAAGGGTTTATTGTGCAATTCTTAAAAATCAGATATAAATTATGCTGGATGTTTTCTAATAAAAAAAACTGATTTGAAATGTTATCTAATACATTAACAAGGGCAGCTATCCTTTAGGTATTTTTTTTTTTTTAAATCCTTTAATGGCTCCTTTCAATATATAATATATCAGAAAGCGAAGTACCAGGTGTTTCCAGCTCCTGAGCGGCCAGGGCCTCGGCTTTGTCCGATGCAGCAGCAGGAGAAGTCTTCTGCTTGGATTTAATCTTCTCCATCCTATAGAGCGAGAAATTGAGGGGATAATTTTTACTCTCTGTTTACACTTTTAAGAGAAGTTAAAAATGGAAGTTGAGGGGAAATAGGCCTGCCATGGTTTTAAACTGGAGCCATTAACTGGCTTTTTCTGCTCAGCCTTACTGTCTCTTTAGTGCCTCAACAGATTTCTGCTCCATCTCCAGTCTGGCTGCAACCTGCTTCTTCACTTTGGCCTCAAACAGCTCAGCACCCCTTAGAGAGATGCAGAGAAGTTAACATCAGTTCAAATCTCATTGGTATCAGCCTGTTTTTACTGAGCCACTAGTTTTTTTAATGGATAAAAAGATCACTGTCGTCACTTTCTTTAGTTCTTTTTCCTGGATGGTCTCCTGAAGTTTGTGAATAAGTCACAGATTTAATACAGTTGCATTTAGATACAGTCAAGAGACCCTTTAGTTGGGCATCTGGCTATAGTAAAGGCTAAAGTTTAGCGTAACAGTTCCTTTTTTAATTTATCATTACTAAAACATAAAATAAAATAAAAAAAAAAACATTGAAATAGTTATTTAAGAAAAATCTCTTGAAACTGTTTTTATTTCAGGCAAACGTTAAAAAATTTTATCAACAGTAAACGAGCACAGACCTGGATGCTAATATCTTAGCAGACTTGAGGTCAGACACCACGTAGAGGAAATAGTAGCTGAGGAAGACCCTCCTCTGTGCCAGGAGGACGGTGAAGCATATGGCATCCCAGACGATGCCAGCTTCCCCCTCTGGCAGCTCGCACTCATCAGTCGGCTCAGCTGAGATTCACAAAACCAAAAAAAACGGTTTACAATTATTCATATAGATATTCAAGATCTAACTAAACATCTTAAGTCTGCAATTTTCTTCCTTTTTCACAGTTCATATACCAAAGGTAATCTCAAGACACAAACAGGTTTAATCCATATCCTAACTTATACAGTTACATTGATTATAGAATATTTTAAAGACATCCACTCCTCAGATCAAAAGGGCATGGAAAAATAGTTATGCTGAAGGAGATATTAAAGATATATTTAATAATCCTATATTACTGCACTAAAAATGCTTTTCATCTTTAGCTGTAAGCAGAAGATTGTGTCAATAAAGAAAAATAAAAGCTTTGAAAACCTCAGCCTGTGTGTAATAATCTCTATAATGCATTTAACCGATATGACTTTTCATTGAAAATGTTTTTTTTTTTTTTTAATGAATCCAAGATTCTGTTTCTCTCAGTCTGATTACCTCTGATAAAGATGAGCCATTTTCCCAAATGCAGGTGCCTTGCAAAAGTATTCAAACTTTCTCATATTTAAACACAATCTGTCACTTACAGCTACTAACTATCATTGGGATTTTAAGTCAAACAGCAACACAAGGTGGCTCACTATTAGAAAGTGGAGGGAAAACAGTAAATTAATTTCACTTCAGTTCCAAATAATATGCTGTGCATTCGTTTGTAGCTATTTTTCCTCTGATTGCCCTAAATAAGACCAATTACCCCATGGTGTTTTCAAAACACAATTCACCTTTCTGTAATTGAAATTGGTAGATGGAGACCTTTGAGGTTTTTAGAGATTATTAGAGAACTAACAGCATCATGAAGACTAAAACCACAAAGGTCAAGGGGGAAGCTATGCAGGAAATGTCCACCCTCTTACTAGCACAATTTATATAGTCGTCAGAGGCCTCATGTTTAAAATGTCCCAAAAGTATCTTTGGGTTTGTAGTGGACCAAAGAAATGAAATCAAGTAGCAATGTACACTGAGGGTTTGCTCTGCGCCGTTCAGGATCAACTGAAACTAATCAGAATGTGCTTAAAGGAAAAAGTATGACCACAACATTCATATTTTGCAAATAAATTACTGAACGCAAACCAGATTTCCATAAATCCCTTGCTATTAAATCTGCACACATATTTATACAACTATGCTATATAAACTGATTATCACTTCAGTTTAATTCAAAAATACTTTATTGATCCCAAAGGGAAATTGAATAATGCAGTGATTCATAGTTTTTTTT